AACAGGTTGAACTTCACTGGTTACGTTCCCTTTGCTGATGAGGTCCATATCAGGACTTGACGGTCGTCTTTCAGTGCTTCCAGGATTCTAATGATGGTCTAACATTGATCGATTCATGGTTTCATAAAAAATGTGTAAGTAAATAAGTTATTTTGAGTAGATTATAGTTGCTTGAGATGTTGAAAAACCAGTTATAAAGAAGAGTTTGTGAACATTTAGGATAATTATTTAGAAAACTAATAAAATCTTTAAATGTTCAAAATGATTTTAGAAAGTTTTTATCAATTTTCAAGGGTTATTTTCTATTTTGTCATCTTGATTGTTGAAGTAACAATAATTTAACATTTCAGCTGTCTGAGTAGGAAAAAATGATTATATTTTTGTAAATTATCTTATAAAGTAAAATCCTTCATACCTATTAAAACATTTGTATTAAATAATCAATACTATTATTTCCCTTCTGGTATAAACTCATTCCATTGCAGAGCTTTGAAGATTGTTGAGCTTCGGTCATATCATCAATCGATTAATGTTTGACTACCATAAGAAACTCTTAAGCATTGGACGTCTGTTTTGTACTTGTATTAAACTCATCACTAAACATGCATTCACGATCCTTGCTTGAAAGAATTCAACCAAGGGTCTCAAGTGAGAATACTTAACCCGACTACGTTCGTTAGGAAATTTTCCGAGTTCTAGTGAGAAGCCATGACCAGTGGTGTTTAATCTTGTCGGGTGTAAGCGACTACCTACTGGAGAGAATAGATGGGGTTATCCACTACCTTGGATTGAATACAGTTAAACTTTTGCATAGCTGGATGAAGGCTTATTGATCTAGAGGTTAATCGTTTGCGCGCGAGGAAGGAAGGTCCCAAGTTGGATTCCTGTGAACAGGGATCGTGGCTGTACGTTGTTGATAAGCTTCATACTAGAATGAAAAAGCTGTCCAATGCTTCCAGCAGCTTTCTGATTCAACATTTCAACAAAGTCTTTTCATTGTATGGTATGTCTTTATTCTTGTAACTTCCTTATCCCCAATCTCATTTAAACTTATGCATATTCCATGATAAAAATTATTTTCTCAGTTATAAAAGTTTGATGAGAATTTTTAAAGGTAATTAAGAAAGAGGCAAGTTATTTTCTTGATGAAATTCGCCTAAAACCATAAAATATTTTTTTCTCAGGTTCTGATATGTAAAATTAAAAACCTCTGGTGTATTATCAAGTTGATAAGTCATGATAGATAGCTATAAGCAATTTGAAATTGTTAGTATGTAGGATTTTTTTAGGTTGATAGGATTTTCATAGTTTTTTTGTCATGCGCTAGTCAAATTTAAACAATCATACAGAAACAAAATATGCTGAATGGGTGTTTCATCTTAGAGGTAAGACTTATCCGTAGTGTGCATTCACGACCCTACTTACTTACTTACTTACTTACGCCTGTTACTCCCAATGGAGCATAGGCCACCCACCAGCAGCATTCTCCAATCAACTCTCTACTGGGCTTCCCTTTTACAGATCTGTCCAATTTTTGTTCATTCCTCTCATATCTTTCTCTATTTCTCGGTGTAATGTGTTCCTTAGTCTTCCTCTTTTCCTTTCGCCTTGTGGTTTCCATGTAACGGCTTGTCTCGTGACGCCATTAGGTGCTTTTGGTAGTGTGTGTCCTATCCACTTCCATCGCTTCTTCCTGATTTCCTCCTCTACTGGAATCTGGTTTGTTCTCTCCCCAAGTTAAGTTGTTGCCGATGGTGTCTGGCCAACGAATCGGAAGTATTTTGCGTAAACAGCTGTTAATAAACACTTATATCTTCTGGATGATGCCTTTCGTAGTTCGCCAAGTTTCCGCTCCATACAATAGAACTGTCTTGACATTTGTATTAAAAATCCTGATTTTGATTTTGGTTGAAAGTTGTTTGGAGTTCCAGATATTTTTCAATTGTATAAATGCAACCATTGCTTTGCCGATCCGCGCCCTCACATCTGCATCGGATCCACCTTTCTCGTCGATGATGCTGCCCAGATATGTAAAGGTGTTAACGTCCTCCAAGGCATCTCCATGAAGAGTGATTTGGTTGGTGCATGTTGTGTTGCATCGGAGAATTTCGCTTTATCCTTTATGTATGTTGAGACCTACTGTTGCGGAGGCTGCTGCTCCACTAGTCGTTTTCTATTGCATTTGTTGTTGCGTGTGCGATAGAAGAGCCAGGTCATCTGCGAAGTCCAGATCGTTCAGCTGCGTCCTAACTGTCCAGTTACGACCCTACTAGCAATCGAGCGCTTTACTTTGAGGTTGACTAATCAGGATCCAGTCAAATGATAATGTTGAATCCCCTTGCATTGGATAACTAACCACCTCACATCCGACAGAGTTGAACTACACTAGTTATAGTTTTAAACCATAACACTTCGGATTTACTCATTAGTGGTTCCTGATTTCATTTCGATTGTCAATCTAAGGTCAACTCGTGATATAGTCTATGGAAATTCAAAATAAGCTCATTTTGTGAAATAAGCAAAATCTTGAAATCTAACAATATTTAGCTATTCCTAATTGCCTGTTGTTATATTGAGGATTTTAAATTCCGACAAGTTCTCGTGATTTCTCACTATGTGATGTATGTATATTTCATTATTGTTGAATTCTCAAATCCAGAAGGTTCATCATTATAATCATTAACAGCAACGTAGAGCTTCGTACGTACGTACATTAGTTCAAGTTGCCATACCACATCAGCACAGAGATGTAATTGTCAATTCAAATACCATGTTAGTAGAGGTAATAAAAGTATTGGCAGTAATCGGAGAGATTAGGGTTCAAAGATATTATTCAAGAAGTATAATTCAGTGAAATAAATTGAGGAATAGAAAGATAGGTTACGACTTGAAAAGACACAAAGAAGGAATGCACCTGATCCATTGCGAACGGTTTTGAGCCATGTCAGTCGAGGTCCATAACCATTGATTACTATCATCTCGTGGGCCCTAACCAGGTAGTCGATGCCTACCGACATGACTCAGTCCACTTGTCAGTGACTTCCTAGATTTGTGCGATGTTTTGACCTGGCCGCCCCTAGCTTTACTCTAACCTACTCCTACACCGCAAAATATAGCTCGATGAGGCAGTCGGTGGTTAGGCATACACAACACATGTTCCAACCACCTCAACTGATGAAGTTTTAATACTTCATCTTTGGACCTGCCATCCTTACCTAGCACCCGCTTCTTAATAACAACAATGCTTACTCGGTTGTCCCATGATACACGAGCAATGAATTCTTTGGGGACACTTATGATTGAAAACCAGTAACCTACGAATATCCTCTACTGTGACTGGCCATATTTCACAGCCATGAAGTGGGACACAGAGAACTACTGTGTAGTATACTTGTCCTTTGGTTAGCAAGTGGATATCTCGTCAACTCTATAAGTGAGTCAATTTGGCGAAAACTAATCGAGCCTTCTGTATCCGTGCCGCGATTTCGTCACACACCAGGCCATTAGCACTGATGGGACTCCCCGGATAAGTGTAGCAGTCTACACGCTCGACTACTCCACTCCCTATCACTAGTTTAGGTACCGATACAACCCAGTCTTGAAGCAACCATTTGCATTTCCTGGAGGAGGCATTCCGAATCCCTAAAGTTCAGCTACTAGTCTTCGCTGTTTAAAACCTAACACCTATATACATATACATTCAGTGACTATTTTCATTCCCATTTATGAAAATATTGTTACGAGTTACGAATTACAGTTTTTTTTTAATGTACAACAACACACAAACACAACAAGTATGTATATTGTTGCTTCATCCTCCTCTTCTATCAAGTACATAAATTCAAGTCCAAAATACCATTGAAAAGTAATATTGATTTGCAATATCGATAATTATCATCATCCCATTATTGTTGTATTGTAGGTTGGTATGATGTTAAAATGAATTTTGAGCAACAAAAAAAGACTCACAGATGGAATTTAACAATGAACAAATTGAAATTAACAACCAAATAGAGTTTTATTTAAATTAATGCGTCGTTATTGTTGTTAATGATTTTCTCAAATAGCATATGTATGACAATGGGAAACCATATGGTCTATTTTGATTTATGGATAATTATCGTTTTGAACACGTTGAGTTGAGTTGAAAAAAAAGAATAGTTTGATTTATGCTTCATATTTCTTGCTTCATATCGAATGAACTAATTATTATTTCTTAAATAGTCTATTAATCATCTAATTATTTCTTGAAATAGTTTAAGGAGATTAGTTTGTTTCATATTTTTTTTCAGAAAGGGGTAGAAAGAGGCAGAGATGTTTAAACAATATTTTCATAAGATCTCGTAATTTAGGAAGTTTAGCAATATCAAGAGTGAGGCCGTTGCTCAGTTCACCGGACTCGAACTCTACAATCGGAATAAATCATACTTGATATAGGTGTTAACTGGTGATTTCTCAATAATATAAAGAATTGCATGGATGTGATGTTGATGAAAGTTAAGCGCAGGATCGAAGATTCTAAGTTCGAGTCCTGTGAGGTGTAGGAATCGTGGATGCGCAATGCTGATGAGTCCTGTATTAGGACGAAACGGCCGTCTTTCAATGCTTCCAGGTTTCTAATGGTGGTGGTCTAACAATGGTTGACTGATGATTTCAAATATGTAAAAACAATAATCTCCATAATTCTAATTCAAAATAAGGTAGTTATAAATTTGTTCCTGTATTATGTTATATTGTATTTAATATTCATTGCCTGAACATAGCTTTTTTTCTTTGCCTAAAATTAAGTTCTACAGTGGTAGTTGTATTTATAGTGACATGGAATTTCAAAACATTTCATTTTTCTATTAATTATGTGACATAATTTTCTCTTGCTGGTTAGCGAGTTAGTCTCTGAGGGGATGAGGTCGCCAACCACATGTCTAACCCTCCTCCTTTATCAGGGCTTGGGAACGACAGTGGCCCCCGAAGGGACTACAGGCGAAACAAACCAGATTTCAGTGGAGGGAGAAGTTAAGAAGAAGTGATGAAGTGGATAGGATACATAGTGAGGGAAGCACCTAAGTGAGTTACAAGACCTGAACTAGTGATAGGGGGTGAAGTAGTCGAGCGTGTTGATCGCTTCACTTATCTGGGTAGTCTCATCAGTTCTGACTGACGAAATCTCAGCACGGATACAGAAAGCTCGATCGGCTTTCGTCAACTTGACTCACTTATGGAGTTGGCGAGATATCCGTTCGCTGACTAAAGGACGAGTTTACTGCTCAGTAGTTCGCTCCGTCTTACTTTATGGCTGTGAAACATGGCCAGTGAGAGTAGAAGATATTCGTCAGTTTTTGGTTTTCGATCATAGGTGTCTTCGAAACATTGCTCGTATATCGTGGGACACCCGAGTGAGCAACGCTGTTATTAGGAAACGGGTACTAGGTAAGAATGGCAGATCAATAGATGAAGTAATGAAACTTCATCAGTTGAGGTGATTGGAACATGTGTTACGTATGCCTAACCACCGACTGCCTCGAAGAGCTATGATTTGTAGTGTAGGAATAGGTTGGAAGAAAGTTAGGGGCGGCCAGACCAAAACATGGCACAAATGCATGAAGTCACTGACAAGTGGACTGAGTCATGTTGATAGATGTAGACTAACTACCTGATTGGGGTCCGCGAGACGAAAGTCACCAATGGTTAGATACCTTGAACGACATGGCTCAAAATCGTTTGCAGTGGCGTAAGTGCATCTATTCATTGTGTTCTCTCAAATCCTAATCTTCTGGGTTAGTCAGCACCTCTACCTTTGTCTTACTAACCTTATCTGACTGAATTATACTTCTTGAATAATATCTTCGAACCCTATTCTTCTTCATTATTAATAATACCTCTTCTATCTTTATCACTATGGGATTTGAGTTGACAATTACATCTCTGTGCTAATGTGGTATGGCAACATGAGCTTATGTACGTACATACGAAGTTCTACGTTGCAACTGACTGACTGACTACAAGACCAGCCCACACATGGAATCCTTAAGGTCAAATAAAGTGAGAAAGACCAAAAAATCTATTATACCCAGAAATGAAGACAGACATGAGAAGAATGAACAACAGTTGGACAGAACCTAGAGAGGAAGGTGCAGGACAGAGTAAGCTGGAGAATGCTAGTTAGCGGCTAATGCAATTTTGGGGGTTAACAGGCGTAAGTAAATATAGGTAACGTGACATAATGTTCTTGTGTATTACATTGTTATTGGTTTCATATTTTAAATATACTATTCTACACAGATCGATTTTAATGACAGTTTCAGATCAGACAATACACTGAATGAGCAAAACTTAACTACGGTAAAACAATCATTACGAAATATGAACTGCTTTAATAAGTAAATATCTAAATATTATGCATCCTACTATATTGTTTACTAATCTGTTAAACTTGCACATACAATTTCAATAAAAAGAACCGAAGTGCTTCCAAGGATATGAGAGAGTAAATGTGAATGTTCCTTGTAGAAAGTAGCTTAACAAATACGAAAATCTAACCTAGTTGTAATGTGAGATCTCAATATTAAAGCTGTAGAGCTCCCTTAGACCCTTTAGCAAAAAATTATTATCTGGAACTATGAGAACAGATTGTTTCCATAAGTCTACACTACCTTAGGAATGAAACATTCAAATGATTTTATTGACCTATGATATTTTAAGCTGATAATCCTCTGTTTTTGATATGCTCGTCAATTGATAGGCTTGAATGCTATTATGAGTTCACCTTATTTGGTAAGCGGAACGAAGGTCACTGATACAGTGACCCGAGAGGCTATTCTAATCCGTTTGTCCCCTGCCCGGCTAACTATATCAAGACGTCTTGACAGAGCATAGAAAGTGTATTCTACAAGCACCCAGAAAATATGAGGTCAACAAGCACACAAATCGTGCTTATTTATACATGATAAAAACGCCCTCGGGAGAGCCACAAAATAACATACTAAAATAATCCATTAACCAACAACAGTAAAGGATTTTCCGAGGAGGTAATGTGAGCTGAAGGTCAACAGGTGGGAAAACATCGAAATTCAAAATTAGGACCTTTCCAAGTGAGTTCTGAGGATCTAACGTCCCCAACAGTTTTATCATAGGTGTACATATGAAACTGCCAGAAGTTCTAGTCAGAAGACGTGACTCATGGAGTTCAACCTCGTTAGTCAGTAACTACTGAAGACAATCGGTAAGGTTGCGCAAAATCCTTAGATTGATCAAAGTTAGACATTAAAACCGTTGCATACCGACTCAGTGGTCAAGAGGTTAAGCGTTCGCGTTCAAGACCGAAGTTCCTGAGAGTAACAGGAGTCGTTGATTCGCACTGCTGATGAATCCCATACCACGATGAAATGGTCATCCAATTCAATGGAGTTTCTAATGACTGGTCTAACAATAGTTCATTCATAATTTCAAGATATATACTATTACTGTATGAAATCAATAGTAAAGACAAAAACAATACAGAAGACCATTTACTTCCAAAGAATTAACAATATACTACTTTTTACTTTTTCTAATCCATGCATACATACTATAGTTTATATGAAATAATAATGATATATATTTTTAAAAACTGCTAATTATATTTGGTGTTTTTTTTATTATACCTCCCAGTTTGATCTATCATTCTATCATCAAAGCTTATCAGTAATAAATTGATCATAATTATTGATAGCATACAACTCTCTCTCTCTCTTTATGTATCTATCTATACCATGTGAAAATGATTTTCTAATTGTATTCTCAACTCCATCCCTATTATTTCAATCTAGGTCACCATTAATAATGTGTATATGTATAAACTCTATTATTTCTTAATCAAGTAGAATCTCATCAGTTTCCCCTAGTTTCACATTCTATTGTACATTGATTGAATAAATAAGGTTACTAATGATCAGAATGAACTTGGCATTTACTTAGTCAGTAGTATGGTTAGTAATTTTCAGCAGAAAAAAATGTTTATTTTCTATAAAATAAAAAGAATAATCATAAACTTACATGTTTTTCATGTAGATAACCACCGTAAGATACGGAGAATTTGGCATAGGATGCTTTCAATAGTTTTGGTATATTTCTGTGAATAATTGAATAAAGAGAATATAATATACAAATGAATGATGCTACAAATTGTATGTAGAGTAGTACGTAAAAAATATTATACTTTATTATTTCATTCCATTTGGTATTGCAAACCTACTGATAGTGATTTAAAACGATTCACGACTTCGTATCACTGAGCTGCAGATCAGTGATCTGGAAGTTAAGTCATAGTGTGGTTACTTATAAGTAGTATATGACTCGAGTGTAAACGTAATGTCTGGCAACAGAAGATGGGGGAAGATCAAGAAAGGAAGAAGAGTGGGAACACAATGGAATTTGTATGAAACGCATGAATAATGAGTGAAATGTCAGACAATGGATTGATGATGGATTGAAGATTTGCAAATTAACCCTTTACGATATGGTTTTCCTATTTTACTGTGTAACTCTGTAATTTTCGTTAAATACAATTTGGTTGTCCTCAACTGTGTTCTCCTTCACTACAATAGGACACAAACCTAAACGGCCTTGAGATCAGTTGTCAGTTGCATACGTGGAGTCTTTATAAAGAACAAAACACTTGCTTGACTCGTTGTACTTCTTCATGAATTGTTACATAAGGTTCGTTCTTAATTTCGACAACATTCGATATTATTTAGAATCCTCGAGCAGTTGATCGTTTATATAAAGAGCGATTCATGACTTCATGTCGCTGAACACCAGATCAGTGATTTGGAGGTTAAGCTCTAGCATACAAACCTAAAGACAGCAAGATTAATTTTACCTGTCGATTCATGGGGAAAGAACGAAATATTTGGTCTAACTCATCATAATGTCTAATGAATTTTCAACTGAGGTTCATTCTTGCACAAACCCTAAAGACTGTGAGATTAATTAATGGTCGTATTTGTGGAGTTTTTATAAACGTCGAATCATTTGCCTGACTCGTTCTAGTTCCTAATGAATTTTAACATAAAGTTCTTTCTTGATAACAATAACGACCGATATTATTTAGAGTTCACAAAACAGTTAATCGTTTATAAAAAAAAAAGAATTTTCAGGAAAAATAAAAGTCAGATCCGGTAATTCAACTCTACTGATTGACAAAGTTATCGACATTCAGTACAATTCAATTTCATAAGAAAATTGTTGATAATTTAACATGTAAACTGTGATACAGTTATGAAATTACTCATTATTTTTTTATTAAAAAAAAAGGCGAGGTTCAAAATTGATTATCATTATATTCGGTCTGTCGAGTATTTGTCTGTTGGATATAATTTTAAACGCAGGCATTCAGCTCTTGAAAAATGGTATGTATATGTTTATGCGTGTAAAGAATTTCCAGCTATCAGCTGTGTTTTAATGTATCGTGAAAATATATTTGTTTTTTTATTTGAAACCATGAATCGATCAATGTTAGACCACCGCTAGAAACCTGGAAGTACTGCAAGAAGGCCCTCAAGTCCTGGTATGTGACTACTCATCAGCAGTGCGCATCCACGACTACTGCACCCCGCACAATTCGAACCTAAGACCTTCGGTATTGTACGCGAACGCCTAACCGTCGGACCACTGAGCCGATATCTAACGGTGTTAATGTCTAACTTGATCAATTCACGGAGTCGCGCAACCTCATACAGAGTCTTCGGTAGTAGTTACTGTCTACACCCGAACAGTTTGAACTTCACTGGTCACATCTTCCAACTAGAACTCATGGGAGAAGATTCCTCACGAAGCTAGTCACTAGTGAGCACAGGTAATTTGCATTGCGGGGTTGTTGTGAAGATTGTTAAGTTTTATTTGAAACCATGAATTGATATGAGGTAACAAGTATTACGAGGAATACAGCATACTCATATTGAGTTGATACGATAACATTTATCACTTAGCAGGTTTCATGAGTTCTTTTTTCTACAGTATCGATTGTATTATAATAACGTGTACAAGTTCTTTTTCTCTTAGGAAAAGTTGATACTTTTCTGTTTCTGTAGATTATTTTCGATAATTAAAATAGATCAATACTATCTTCTTATGGTATGAGTTATTTTGAAAAATATTTGACAAGAACATTTGCCAAGAACTTGACAATATTATTCTGTTTCAATACATGAACTTTTCTACCTTTTTAGGCTGAAAACTTAACAATCTTCACAACATCGTAATGCAAATTACGTACGCTCACTAGTGACTAGCTTCGTGAGGAATCTTCTCCAAGTTCTAGTTGGAAGACGTGAACAGTGAAGTTCAACCTGTTAGGGTGTAGACAATAACTAATACCGAAGATTGTGTATGAGGTTGCGCAACTCCGTGAGTTGATCAAGTTAGACATTAACAACTTTAGATACCGGCTCAGTGGTCCGATGGTTAGGCGTTCGCCTACAATACCGAAGGTCGTGGGTTCGAATCCTGCGGGGTGCAGGAGTCGTGGATGCGCACTGCTGATGAGTCCCATACCAGGACGAAACGGCCGTGTTGTAGTGCTTCCAGGTTTCTAGCGGTGGTCTAACATTGATCGATTCATGGTTTCGAAATTGTGTAACTTAACAATCTTCACAACCCCGTAGTACAAAATAATGTTATGTAAAATTTAGGAATATGGAATATATGAATTATAAGTCAAAATTTAACATCACAGAATAAAATCAATTAGTCAGTCACTACAAATATTGTCAATCTATTTTTAAGAGGAATTTTAACATTTCTTTGATCGACAGTGATAATGATTGTCTCAGATCGTAAGAGCTGATTGCGTAATCACGTATATGACTACTTTTTGACATTTTCAGCGAAATACTATTCAACTGTCCTAACGTCGTTAATTAATTATAACACAACAAGTTATGTATTGAATTATTTTTACCCCAATCAAGTCTCCCAGTGTATTTACCAATTCACATGTAACTGCGGGGAAAGTTACTTGGGTAGGATAGATCGCCGATTGGAAGACAGGATAGGGGAACATATTTCAAAATGGCTAATCAAATCCATGATTTATCAACCTAGCCCGTCATCTCAAAATCGATCAAGAAACTCAGCCTCGTCCATTGCAAAATATCTAATGATGAGTGGTTATCAAATTGACCCAAAATCAGCCATTAGAGTTGTGACATGTCATCAAAACCCACACACACTCAAACTACTCGAAGCTATCCAATAATCACATGATCTAGTCAGGCGCTTATATCAAAAAAAGCTTAAGAGCTATCGTTTCATATGGTTCAATATCATGGTACCTGATGGTCGGCTGAGAAAAGAATGAAAACTAATAGCACCTGAAATCATCAATCCATCATTGTTAGCCCGCCATTAGAAACTTGGAAACATTGGACAGCCATTTCATCCTGCTGTGGAACTCATCAGCTATGCGCATCCATGACTCGTGCATCTCGCAGGATTCGAACCCGGGACTTTTGGTATTGTGCGAGAACCCCTAACCATTGGACCACTGGGCCGGCATCCAAATGTGTTAATGTCTAACTATGATCGATCTAGGGATTTTGCACGACCTCACCCATTTGTCTTTGTTAGTTACTGCATACACCCGATAGGGTTGAACTCCATTAGTCACGTCTTCTCAACTAGAACTCTGAGAAATTCCTCACGAAGCTAGTCACCAGTGAGTACTGTTACGATATTTTCGGGCAGAGTTTTGGAGGTTTTGTGTTTTTATACATTTGAAGTCATCAATCAATCATTGTTAGACCAACATGAGAAACTTGGAAGCATTGGACAGCCATTTCATCCTGCTATGGGACTCATCAGCAGGGCGCATCCACGACTCCAGCAGGATTCGAACCCAGGACCTTCGGTATTGTTCACGAACGCGAACCTTCGGACCACTAGGCTGGCTGGCATTGATCTAGGGTATTTATTGTTTTGGTATTTATTGTTTACACCTGACAGGGTTGAACTCCATTGGTCACATCTCCTCACTAGAACTCCGAGAATTTCCTAACGAAACTAGTCACTAGTGAGCATGGCTGTCCAGTGCTTCCAGGTTTCTAATGGTGGTCTAACAATGATCGATTGATAATTTCAAATGTGTTAGAACACTAATGAGGTTACTGTAATAAAGATCATTATTATTATTATTATATATTCATTCATATTTCCCCTTAAACACCATTGTAGCTATTAAGTACTAAAGAAAGCGAATACTAATTATCTAGCCATTTAAAAAACAGTAATTTATCTTTTCGGATCAAACATTGAGCGCATATCATCATCGATAACGATAAATTCATGATCTGAGGAAATCACACTTCGGAAATCTAACACGTTATGCTTTCATAAAAGTTATTTATTTCCTTTTCAATGAAATTCTTCTTCTATGGCTGGCTAAATCACTCACTCTACAACACTCGGTTCAAATCACTTATCATAAAGATTTTCTTTAAAAAAAATAAAACTCAACTGAATTAATCAAGTAAATCTTATTCAGATTATTAGTATTAGGGTTTTTAATTTTAATTTTTTTAGAAGCCAAGTTTAAATTTATACACATTAAGTAGATGATAGTTTGAGATAGAGTTATGCTTGCTGTAGCAAAGTAAAAACTATCTGATTATCATTTTAATGACTATCATCAGTCCTGATCATCATTCATGCCATAAACATTTGAGCATAAAACAAAAAAATAATGTGTTCTATATTCACAAGTTAAATTTAAACAAAATTGTTAAACAAAATTGAAATCGTGAATCAATCATTGTTACATCACCATTAGAAACCTAGAAGCACTGGTTGGCTGTTTTATTCTAATATGGAACTTTGCTACAGTGCAGTTCCACCATTCGAACCCTGGACATTTGCTCTCGCGTGTTAATGCTTAACCTCTAGACCAATGAGTCAGTATCTAGCTGTGTTAATGTTTAACTTTAATCAATCTAAGTTATTGTTCAACTCCACTGGTTGTCTTCGGTAGTAGTTACTGGCTACACACGACAGGTTTTCCTTACGAAGCTAGTCACTACTGATGTTTTACATTGAGGATCATAAATCTATCATTCTTAGATAACAATCTTTATAACTCTATAATGAAAAGTCATAAAATGTACTCACTAGTTTAGATCTTAACCTAAATCATCCTTCAAAACTGTTTAGTTGTATTATTTTACCATGAAATTCTTCAAAAATGTTTATTCACAACCTCGTCACAAGTGATCCAACCCAAGACATTCCAATTTACGCGTGAACGCCTAAGCTGTAAATCATTCAACCAAGATTCGAATTGGAGTTAGAGTATCAGTTCAAATTGAAACCGTCTCTAATTTGTTTATTAAATGTCGTCTGTCTTTTCCTAATTCATATTATGTAACACGTAATCACATAAATAATTTCAAATAACCATATACTAATATAAATATATAGGTGCCAAACAACTTTCAACCAAAATCAGGATTTTTAAAATAAATGTCAAGACAGTTCTACTGTATGGAGCGGAAACTTGGAGAACTATGAAAGGCATCATCCAGAAGATACAAGTGTTTATTAACAGTTGTCTAAGCAAAGTACTTCGGATTCGTTGGCCAGACACCATCAACAACAACGTACTGTGGGAGAGAACAAAACAGATTCCAGTGGAGGAAGAAATCAGGAAGAAG